TAGAATAATAATAATAATAATACATTTTATTTCAACAGCGCCTTTCTGAACACTCAAGGACACTTTACAGAGATAAAATACACAACAATAAAAGATAAAACAGCATAAAACAAACAGACAGATTGGAGCAACGAGAGTAATTATTGGAATGCTAGACGGAACAGGTGAGTTTTGAGACAGAATCACCTTTTTGGACAACTTGGATGGCAACACGAGCAGCTTTGACTCATTGTGTGTGTGTGTGTGTGTGTGTGTGTTCGTTCGTTCGTTATCAGGAGGGAACTGGTTTGATGCTGGGGGAGGAGGTAGAGCAGTGTAATGCCTTTCTCTCAATGATTGCTGTTATCATAAAGCATATGTCCAAAGCAGGTGAGAGGGCCAAGTACTGCTCTTGGATTGAAAATATGTAACCGTTACGGAAACATTACTCATTCCTTTCTTTTTTGGGGACGGACAGACATGCTGACTCATGACCATGCGTTGGAATCAAAGTTGGACAACCTGGCCACCTCTCTGACCAACCCATATCAGAAGGTAGTAGGGATTTATTTTTCGACGGCTACACCTCTGTATTCTAAACATTTTGAGCTGTAGTTTAAACATGTTTTATTATGTATTATTTTAAATTGGCAACGTAGGTCACAAAACACTTCTAAGCCAGCTTCAGAACCTGGAGTCCATGAAAGTGGAGTTGTCAGTGACTGACTCAACTGGATGACTGGGTCAGTGATGTAAAGGAGTGGGCAGAAGGTGAGCTTATATGTTCTGAAAAGAGTTTGAAATAGCACAAAACCTTCAGGTTAACTGCATTCATCTTCTTTTTTCTAAGCAGTAGCATCCAGCCCAGCTGATGCTGACGGCTTGGCAGGCAGAATGGAAGTTCTGGTTGCGAGTATAAAGCGTCGATCCCAGCGCGGAGGGATCCTGACCAAGCGTCGATATGGGGCGAGTTGGGAGTGAGAATATGTTGCCCGCTCAGGAAAGTGGGCACACCTTGGACATAGTGCTGTTGTTTGACTTACCCATCTTTGACCTAACCATCGAAGATGCTATTTTCTCTGATCATTTGCATGTTTTATCTCATTTTGAAGCACTGTGGCCACCTGTAAAGACACACTCCTGCAATCCGGCGACGGGTTATTAACCCATCTACAGCAACAGAGTTCTCAGATGTGTCCTCTGCCAGTCCTCTGTGCCTCTCAGCACAGACAATCTCATCCTCCAGTTTGATACCACGTGCAAGACTTCTTTGGACATAGTTGCACCTGGAGTGTTGTTAACATACATGAATGCTGCAGCATGAATGTCTGCAGTCCATGCTTCGGTCCCCACAACTGCTACTCCCAATAAAATGTGTCAACAAAACAGCAGTTCCTGCAAGCTCAGGACGCCTCTGCAGACAGGTGAGGTCAGCGGACTTCTTGGTGCTTGACCTCCTCTCTGGGTGTGTCCTGGTCTGGACGTGTCCTGGACCTCTTCATGTGGACCAGCTGGGTCCTGACCACATGCAGCTCCTTCCTCAGCGCATTGATTTCAGTGATGAGCATCTCGTTTTCCTGCAGGTTAGGATGAACACCAGCAGGTCACTGTTTAACACAGCTCCATACCTTCTGCTGGTCCCTGGACCAGATTACAATCAAAGCTTACTGCCTGTGTACTTTCTTCTTCTCTAAGTGTTTGTACGGCTGCTTTATTGAATTTCATCACTGTGGGATTAATAGTCTACTCTAACCATCTCTGATGTTCATTTGAACTAAAAAAAATGACACTTGGCGTTTTAAAGACCTCAGTAATCTATGTTTATCTCACCTTTGTCATCTGGGCAGAGACTTTCTCTCGCTCCTTTGCAGATTTTTCCAGTTTCTGCTTCAGACTGGAAATGGTTTTCTCCTGGAGGTCCTGGTGGTGGAGAAACACCTCTGGAACATGTTGCGCAGCACCGCTCTTCTCCACCTTAGAAAAACCCTACAATGTCAGGTCACCTCGGACTGTACAGACCCTAGCGGTCATGTTGCGTGAGCAGAGTCACTCACGTGGTCCAGCTGTGGGCCGTAGTGGGAGTACATCTTCAGGATGCTGTCTCTCAGTTGTTTTGGGTCCTGGATAAAGCCGACACAGCCATGGAGGTCTGACTTGAGTCGTTCTAGAAGAGTCTCCAAATTTTTCCCCTGGTCACAGAAAGGTGAAAAAGGATAGTTTAAGGGTTTCTCTGATCTCCACGGGCACAAAGCTGTTTTACAGAAGCTGAAGATGAAAGTTGTTAGATGACTGGACCATGCTGGACCTTCTGCATTTCCCTGCGCATTTCCTTATCCTTGGTCTTCAGTTTAAGCCTCAGGTCAGAGACGCTGAGCTTCAGCTGAGAGTTACTCTTGTCCTTCTGCAGCAGGATGTCCTCCAGCTTTAAACACACACGTGTATTACATCAAAAGCTTCTACGGGACGTTAAATCTTTCTGCATCCTTGTGGCATGAGAAGAGTCTAAAATATTGTGACCACATCATGCAGCCAGTAAGCTGGTGATGAAGCAGCATGGGCGGTTAGGTGAAGGTCTATGTTGAATGTTTTTACACACCTGTTGGATCTTCTCTCTTGTCTTATTGATCTCATCCTGTTGAGACTCCATCTGCTTCTGGAAGTCGTTCACCTGAAATTCCAGGAGGAACTTGAGCGTTTCCAGTTCCTGGTTCTTCTTCACGAGGCTGGAGATGGTGTTATCCTGCAGGAACACGAGCGGGAGGGTAATGAGTTCACAGATCCTGGTCGACTCGGGGTTTATTGCTCTTATGGAATTTGAGATAATGTTTTTAGGCCTAACCCTTGAATGGGGAGCAGAGTCTAGCTACGAGGCCTACCAGATCTGTCACCAGGTCCCAGAAACCCAGGGTTACACCGCTCCAGACCAGGGATTGGTCTACCTTTGGCCTTTTGATCATTCAGTGAGGAAATAGTTTTATTATTTCCAAGAACCAATTCTCCCAGTTACACATTCCAACTGGTGCCTTTTTTACAGCCAACCTGACCTGACCCAGTGCTAAAGCCCTGAGGCAGTCATGACCCCTGACCTTTTCTCATGAGGGGTTTCTAAGGACGTAGGCTGGTTGTGTTTCAGGAACGTTCAGGCTCAGCATACTGGAAACAGCAACCGTACCACACCTTGTCAAGGCCCGTCTTCTCGTGCCCAGAGAGCTGCCTCTTCTGTTCGGTGATGTCCCCCTCCAGGGAGCGGATCAGCCCCAGCAGCCTCTGCTGCTCCTGCTTCAGCTTGGTTACATCATCACACCAGCCATCCGCCTGTCGCTGTGCACCGTGCAGCTGTGACATCACAAACGTGATCACTAAACAGCATCACCACCCTGACGTGACCCAGAAGGAACTAGTCTATACTAGGTAACCCTGCCTTAATCACCTTCTGTGCCATGACTGCAGCTCTTTTCTTCAAGTCCTCGTTGGTCTCCTTCTCCGAGTGGAGTTGCTGCTCAAACTGGGCTTGGATGAGACGTATCTTCTCCTTCTCGTCCTCCTTTGCCTGCTTCAGGATCTTTTCAAACTCATGGACTTTCTGCTCCGCCTCCTTCTGATGCTGTTTCATTTAAGAGCATGACACAATCAAACGGGGCTCTCAGGTGCCAGAGCTTCACCATCTCCTCTTCTTCATGTTCTCTGTGACTGACCTGAACCAGAAGCTGCGTCTTCTCCTGCAGCTTGACCTTGTACACCTGAGTGAGATCCTCCAGAGCCAGGGTGTGGCTCTCCTCTGCAGATGTCAGCTGTTTCTTATATTCGTCCTGCATCTGTTCGTGCTTCTGCAGAAGATCCTGGTACTTCTGGTGGTTCACCATCAGCTTTGAAGTGTAAGATTGCTCTGTGCATGATGGAAAACAGATCTGGAATTGCTTACATTTATTTTATTTATTTATTAACTTATATTTTAGGAGGATAAAACCACTTGAGATGAAACATCACGTTTACGAGTGGGTCCCCCTACCGTAGACAAAAGATATTACAAGACAGAGGCTATATAGAACGAAACAAAGTCAATCAAAAAACAAGCAACAAATGGTAATTGAGAAAATTAATGAATAGATAATTAAAGAAAAACGGGACAAAAAGAGATAAAAAAAAACAATTAGTATTATTATTATTATTATAAATCATAAATCCTGCTTTGGTACAGCAAAAAGAATGTCAGAAAGCAGCTTCAAAACAGTTACAGATCGGTTTCACACACTCAGAGAGAGAGTTTTTAAAGAGGCGAGGGGAGGAAACAGATCTTATACGAGCAGGTAACTTATTCCAGTCCCGAGGAGTTGGCTGAAGCCTTCAGCAGCTACAGCTGGGTTGTAGGTGGTTTCATCATTAAACCTCTAAGTAGTTGTTTTAGTAGTTGCCTTTCCTCGTAAATCATTCATTTTCTTCCAGAACTGTTTTGGATTGTTAAAGTCGTTGCCCAAACTGTTCCTAAAGAAGTTGGTTTTAGCATTTTGTGTTTGTGTGGTGCAGAAACGACGTAATTTTCTTTACTCCTTCCAGTGAGTTGGATGTTTTCCATGCTTTATCACGTTGCTTATAGCGTGAGTGAAGAAGCAGTGTTTGTGTTATGTGGACACTGATACTGTCCTCTTCTTACCTAAATCCTGAAGTTGTTTTGAATGTTTCACTGCAGCTTCGACAGAGTCCTTCTGATGCTCACATTCTTGCTCCTCTATCTTTGTTTTCATGATCTGCAGCAGAAAGTTTGAGAAGATGATGAAGTTAGATGGCTCTTCAGAAGACATTAGGATTTTTATTTTGAGCATCACAGACATGTAACAGTCTAGGAGGGATTTGCATAAGAGCTGAATTTTACTGAGTGGCTGGACTCAGGACATGAAGGGTAACGGAGGACTTCAGAAGCTTCCAGCCCATAGACCAGAGGGCTCTGGTCCTAGCTCTCTCCCTCTGAGTGGGAGGGTTTGAACCCAGTGGATGTGTGCGATCACTTTAAACCTTTAACTGGTTGCTGTAGCTTCATCAGACGCACCTTTTTAGCTGCTTTCAGAGATTCTACTTCTAGGGTAAACTTCTCCATCAGCTCTCTGAACTTCTCCGTGTGACTCATGTCCTTCAGCCGGAGCTGGTACTCATTCTCCATCTGCAGCTCCTCTAAATGCATCTTGAGCTCCAGCATGTGTTGGGCCTGAAACACACACAGTGAGCTGCCTCATTAGGCAACGCCGACAGCAGCTTAATGAACCGGTGTTTGGATGAACCACTGAGACAAATCAGATTCAGCTGCAGAAAAACACACTAGACTGGACCCAATGTCCCCAGCTGTTTGTCCAATCAGACAGACTTGCCCTACATTTGGACCAGATGAGAAAAGAATCTGAACATAGGTGTTTTATCCTGGGCCAAACTAGTTCAGCAAGGCTAATTCAATTCAGTTTTATTTATAAAGCATCAAATCGCGACAAGAGTCGTCTCAAGGCACTTCACATAATAAACATTCCAATTCAGGTCAGTTCATTAGGCCAATCAGAAAAAGTTTCCTCTATAAGGAACCCAGCGGGTTGCATCGAGACTAGTGTCAGAATCTTTACAGCAATCCTCATACCAAGCAAGCATGCAGCGACAGTGGAGAGGAAAACTCCCTTTTAACAGGAAGAAACCTCCAGAGAATCCTGGCTCAGTATAAGCAGCCATCCTCCACGACTCACTGGGGATTGTTTCATAATCTGTGACCAATGACTGGGCGGTGTGCCTTGATCCCAACTGAAGCTTGTGAAAAGCCTGTTCATGGACAGTACCGCTAATAAGTAAGTAATGGGGCTTCCACACTATAGCGTCAGTCCTACTCTGCCTGGACTTGGCATGGAGTGTTCCCATTTGGGTAGCCAGGGATTTTCCCACACGCAACTGCTTGTTTTTCCAGCCCTCTTCCCAAGGTGACCTGCCTGGAGCCAACTTGTTGTAACACACCCACTGCAGACTGACTGGCCGGCTCAAATTCACACCTACCATCAGGAGGAGCCTCTGATTGGTGGATAGGGATGGGTACCGAATTCGGTACTTTTTAAGGTACCGACCGAATTCCATAGTACCGACCGAGCACCGATTCACGTAATTTGAAACGGTGCTTCGTTTCGGTACCCGTCCTTCATAACGAGAACTTGCCTAGACAGCTGCGCAAGAGCGTTATGTCATCGGTCGCTGTGAGCCAGTTGTAAACAGAGCAGCATGGTAGAAAGAACCAAAGCTAAAGCTTGGGTCCACTTCACTAAATGTGATGGGTAACTGGGTGATGATGAAACCAGCGACAACGATCTAAGTGAGACATCCTCATCTTAATCTGCTCCGGTAGGTAAATAAAATGTTTAAGATGACGTTAGCTTGATATGTTAGCTTCTGTTTCGCTAATGGTGCGTTCGCTTTCTCCTCGGAACTCCGAATTTTCGACTGGAAGAACATGAACGCGCTCTAAAGTTTGGCTTCACTTTACTAAATGCGACGGGTGATTGGGTGAAGACGAAACCAGCGACAACGATCTAAGTGTGAGGCATCATCTTTTTAATCTGCTCCAGCAGCTAAATAAACTGTTTAAGATAGCTTGATATGTTAGCTTCCATTGCTACCATTGTTATCAGCTAATGGTGCGTTCACTTTCTCCTTGGAAATTCTAACTTCCCAGTAGGAAAAATCAATTGAAAAAGGACGGCAAAAGGAATGAAGATACACAGTAAATTTAGTTCACAGTAAAGATGTTTGCTTCAGTTTAATTATCAGCTTATAAAACTACAAGGACGATGTTAAAATACACACAGTTGTATGTTATTTATCGTGATATTTATCAAATATGGTTATATATTGAGAAAAATATATATTTAATTATAAAAGAGAATTAAAATATTAAACATTAAAAAGTATCAAAAATTGGTACCGTTAAGTACCGGTATCGATTCCTAGGTACCGGGAATTAGTACCGGATCGATTCAAATGTCAAAGGTACCCATCCCTATTGGTGGATAGAATCAGCCCACGGGGGCTTCCCGCATTCACGATTCACTGTTATGCCGTCTGTCTGAAGAGTGCGCACGCACACACTCAGGCACAGTAGCCTCTTTTATAAGACACCATGCCGGCAAATCGGCATAATGTTACCGCAATGGTTTGTCTATAAACACGCCATGCCGGCATGGCGTTGCGCGAATTTTGCGGCATTCGTTCCGCCTCGCTTGGTAGTAATATTGCAGTAATGATCTGTCGTATGCGTCCTGGCGCAACAGAGGCAGATGTCATGATGACGTGGGGAGTTATTGCTGAGCTCCGGCTGGCAAATTTGTTGAAAATGAAAGTAAACACGGGCAATGAGGTTTGCTTTTTGAACATAATCATCTGAGATGGCAGACTGGAGCGCCGCAGCGCTCCACGAGCCTCTCTGTTAGAGCTGAAGCTCAGACCACCAGAGACTGCACAGGGACTGATGGGGACAGACACCTTTAGGAGCTGCTTGTTAAAAAAACTTAATGATCACGGCTTCAATCACAATAAAAAGCAAGTTATGTCCAAGATAAACGGAAGTCTGCGGCAGCGCAGAGACCGCCCCCATACCCCCTTTATGCCGCCATCGCCTAATCTTTTATAAAATTGCCACGATTGCGCCACATTACCGCCACGGTCTGATCTACCACCTTTATCCTCCCCAGGGAGCCGCGACGAATCCTGTTCTGCTACCGCTATGGTCCTGTAAAAATAGCTACACACACACACACACACACAAAGGACATCTCCCTCCCTCTGCTGTGAGCTCACACACACAGGGAGTAATTTATCTTCCTCTGCTGTTAAGTACACACAGACACCAGCCTGTGGGGCTTGAGCTGTGAGGACAGCATTGCTGAGGAGTGTGTGTGAACAAACCCTACTGGTGGGGGACCCCACGCTATCCAGCCTGGACCGGGCCAATGTGGACGCGGCATAAACGTGTTGCAGAGAAATCATCTGCTATCTGTGGTTGGCACTAAATGCACTGTGATTTATTATTGTGATTGTTCAGTAGAACGATGTTGATTTTATATTTCCTCATCAGGTTTACGCAGTGATAGCTTGCTCCTGTTGTATTGTTGTTTGTTTGTTATTCTCCTTCTGCAGGTCTAGAAGCAGACTCTTGTTCATCATTGATTGTTTATTTTTGTGACCCCCCCCCCCCCCCCGGCCACCCGTCCTTCCAACCATCACCAGCAGGGAGGAGGGTGAAGTGTTTTGCCCAAGGACACCACTGGCAGCAATGGAGCCTGAATTCAAACCATGTCATGTGTCTCTCCAAAGTCTCAGCTTAGACAGACAGACAGACACACACACACACACACACACGCACGCACACACACACACACACACCTCCTGCTGCCCTGATGCACGCTCAGGCACACGTGGGAACATAAACACACACACAGGACTTGAGTGAAACGAACTTTCTCCTCCAGGTCTGCCTTCGTCACCAGGATCTCCTCAGTGTGGACAACCTGCCGGTTGCTCTTCAGTCCGCGACCGTCCTTGTCAACGATCTTAGAAATCAGCAGACAGCCATCTTCAGACACAGTCAGCAAGAACTGGTCATCATATGTAATCGCCATCTGAGGAAACATGATGTTTAAAGCATGTTTTGTTTCAGCACAGAATACTAAAGTAGGGTTTGGCGCCACCTTGTTCACAGGGCCGCCATGGGGCTGCTGTATGACCCACTCCCTCTGGATGGGGAGTGGGTACTTAATGGCTCTGATGGTTCCACTGGAGGTTCCAGTGAAGATGACACGGCCAGAGTGAGACACGGCAAGAGCAGTGAGACTTCCTTCATCAGCAGGAACCTCCCTGAGGACCTGTGAAACCAACACTTTTTAAAAACTCAGGATTTTTGTTTTTGTTTGTTTCCCTTTTTTTCATTCAAATTAAAACCTTTAGGGAAGAAAGAAGTGCTTTGTAACATTTTTAACAGCTGGGCAATGATAATAGACATGAGAACTGGTAAACAGATAAATAGCCAATGGTAACAGGAGTTTCTCCATGTTGGACCAATCACGTGGCTGGAATAGAGCCACACAGACGGCACAGTAGCAGTCAGATAATTAGAGTACATTTTATTTGGAGTACCTTTCTAAAAACTCCCTGTACAGAAAGGGGAAATAAAACATTCAAAACGAACACAACTAAACAATGTAGTTGCAGTAAATGACTATAGTCAAGCTAAAACACAAAGCAGAGTTATGGTGAAGGGTAGTGGTGTTCCTGAGTTCAGCTCCAAAGGGAGGGGGCTGATCTGCTGGATACTCAACCTCCCATGGTGACAAGACGAGCAGGCGGACTGTGCAGGTTGAAGGAAACTGAGGACCTGAGCATCCAGAAGGGTGTAGATACTTGTAAGAGCTGTGAGAGATATGAGGGGGTCCTCACAATAAGGTTGTGAATGGCCTTACATGTGAGGAATACGATTTTGTAGTCAACCCTGAATGTTACTGCTAGCCAGTGAAGCTGCTGGATAATGGAGGTGACATGAGAAGGGGAGGGTGTTTTCGTGATGACACGAGGAGCAGAGTTTTGGATCAGTTTACGTTTATTCAGACTTCTGTGGCTGACCAAAAAAGGAGTGAGTTACAATGATCTAGGTGAGTAGTGTTTACTAAAATTGCAGACGAGTGATTAGACAGAGATGGATGTAGGTGGTGGTTAGCTGACCGAGTAACAGAAATGATATGAGAATATTAGGACAAGGTGCTGTCCAGAGTTACACCAAGGCTCTTAATCTGACCTAGGCATGTGACAGTAGCGTTTTCTATTGATACTGAGAACTTTCTGGCCTTCCCTACTGCTGACTGTGCGCACTTCGGTTTTGTCAGAGTTCAGCTTCAGGAAGCTGGAAGAGAACCAGGACCTAATCTGTAAGGAAGGGGTGCCCAATCCTGGTCCCGCAGGGCCGGGATCCAGCAGGTGTTGTGGTTTCTCTGCTCCAGCAGACTTGATTCAGAGGTTGAGTCACCTGTTCAGCAGCTCATCAAGCTCTGTAGAAGCCTGTTAATCACCTGCTGAAATCAGGTGTGTTGAAACAGGGTTACGACTGAAACCTGCTGGATACCCCTGCTGTATGGCATTCAGTGAGTGAGGATGGTGGAAGCATTGTAGATGGTGCAGTTAAAATATATAACTGAGTATCATCAGCATAACGGTGAAAATTGACGTTGAATATCTAAAAATTGGACCCAAAGGAAGCTGATAAATTATGAGTAGCATGGGGATGAGGACAGAACCTTGAGGAACTCCAGATACCACGAGCAGGAGTGAAAGTGAATGTGTTCAGCTGAATAACTTGAGTTCTGTTTGTCAGATATGACTTGAACCAGTTAAAGAGCAAGTCACCCCCTACAAGACACTTACTCCACTCCCACTTCATGTTTGAAAAATGCAACAAATGCTGTTGCCTGGCAGACTGAGAGGGCGGAGCCGCTAACAAATACACACAGGCTCGCAACGGCATTGTGACATCATAATGTACCAGTTTACATCATAGCATACCTCTTAGCCAATAGCGGTGGCAGATTTAAATTCAAATACAGTGCAGAGTTTTACCTGGCGACGGCGCAACACTGCCAGTTTTAGGCAGAATATTTAAATTTTAACTAAGATGCACTGAAGTGCCAAATTATTGACGACACGTGTCTGCAGCACGATTAGACACGCGTTTATTTAGTTTATCAGCAAAAAAAAGTTGAGTTGGGGGTGACTTGCTCTTTAAATGAAATGTGAGAGATACCTATAGCCGATAAAGTATTCAGAAGTGTGGAATGACAGATGGTGTCACTGAGGTCAAGGAAAACGAGGACAGAGTTTAAACCAGAGTCAGCTGCCATTAGAGGATCAGTGGTGATCTGTTTCAGTGATGCGGAGACGGCGGAAATCGGACTGGAACGGTTAGTATAAAATATCTGCAGAAAAATGCTGATGGAGTTGTGAACCTAATGTTTGAGCAGCTGTAGCAGGCAACATCATTGCAAAAAGGAGGAAATATCGAGTGCATTGTCACAATGAAGGACAGTGACTTGTTGCTCTTACTCCCTGGCCAGATTACAGTGTAAAAAACTCCCAACAACCAAGCTATTCCCAGTTTTAGTTTAAAATAATGAGTGGCAGCTAGCTGATGTGACTCAACATGAAGAAAACAGCAGATGTTTAGTCATAAAGCTGATCTAGACCTGAATCAACTGGGAATAAAATGTCTCTCCACACATGGATGGAAGAGGAGAGTTGCACACAAACATGCAGCTGGATCTCAGGGATGGTGTTTCTATGACTGTCCGTGATGTGGACAGCTCTTTGGCTTCTCACCTGGCAGCTCTGTATCTCCCTCACAATGTCTGACCCCACAGCTAGGATGGTCTTGTAGTCCCAGGAGAAGGCAACATCTGTGTAGCTGCAGGACTTGACCACACTCTCGGACTCTCGCTTTCCAGTGTGTGTGTTCCACTCATAAACTGCACCGTCCATCCCACACGACACCAGGCGGCTGTCATCCAGGCTCCAGCCGACGCTCCGCACCTGCAGGCAGAAGGGCATCCAATCAGGATATTGGGGGAGGGGGTCATGCCCTACTCACCTTTCCATTGTGGGCCTTCAAAGTGAGAGTATTCTCAAAAGTGGTGAAAGTGTAGACATAAATGACGTTTCCATTAACAGCCGCAAACATGTGACCTCCATGGCTGAAAGCGCACTAAGCATGGAGGGAAAGAGGGACGTCAGTGCTGGCTGCAGAGAACGACAGATTCCAGTTTACTGTGAAGTACATGAACACACCTCTCTACAGCTACGCAGCGTAAACTCTTTTAAAGTACGGATGTCATCCAGAACCAGATTCATCAGCCTGAGTTTGTCTGAGAAGCCCACAAGGACGAAGAGGCCAGTGGGATGCAGCGCTACGCTGTACGCCTCCTCCTGGAACTCCCTGTACAGCTCCAACTCCCTGGAGAACACAAGACAAAGGTTGTGTTAGCGTCTAAAGGAAGTTCATGCTTCATGTGAATGAAAAACGTGTGATTTTCACTTTGTCTCGTAGTTCCAGATACGGACAGATCGGTCCAAAGAGCAAGTGGCTACGAGGGGCTTGAGGATGCAGGTGGACAGACCCGTGATAGCGCTGGAGTGGAAGGGCTGGGACAAGGACTCGAAACATTGATGTCTTTCCTGATGGACAGAGGTAACATTCATATCAGCTAAAGGATTTTTATTTATTTGGTCATTTTTGAAAGTAGGAAAAAGATATTAATAATAATAATCATCGAACTCATATAGCTCTTTATTAGGACACTCAAAGACGCTTGCGTGAACTCTTACATTCACACACTGCCAGTGATGGTGGGCTGCTATGTAGCCACAGCCGCCCTGGGGCAGTCTGACGGATGCGAGGCTGCCATTTGGCGCCGTCGGCCCCTCTGACCACCACCAACACAGGCAAGTTGGGGGAAGTGTCTTGCCCAAGGACACAACAGCAGAATGCCTCTGGTGGGAGCTGGGGTCATGAGGCAACCTGCTCTACCTCCTGAGCTACTGCTGCCCTGCAGCAACTGTACAAAACATGCTAAAAGAAACCAAAAGGTGTAGTATGAAACCTAGCTTTTGTGTGCCTACCTTTTACACAATCAGATTTCCACTAATAAACAATAACAATACTAATAATAATAACAATAGGATAGACTATCGATCCCACAGTGGGGAAATTCACTCATAGTACACAACAAAAATAAAAATTGTACAGCAACAAATGAAACTACCAGCGCACTTTACAAATAAATAGTATTAACGTGAAAAGATATTTCCCATTCTTGTAATCTGACATCATCCTATGGATGTACATTTTTTAAGAGTGGTGGTACATACTCTTGTTTCGATATTCATGTTGTTCCACAGTGCTACTCCTACTGAAAACCTCCTTACAGCGGTTCACCGGAACAATCTTACCATGTACTTTTAAAAGTACTGTGGCAAGGTGGAGAAACGAGGGCCCGGGCGGGATTCGATGCCCAGACTCCCGGGTGAGAGTCATACGCACTAACCTGTCAGCCAAACACATCCCCTTGTCCAAGTAGCCAGGGCGCATGATCATTCGGGACACGGTGACAGGACGCTCACACTGCCACAGTGCTAATGCTGTCTGTTAATGGACCAGGTCAGTAAATTTGAGTATATTTAATTTTCTGAACATAAATACATGCCTGGTGCATGGTAAAGTGAATCGGTTATTATTAATGGGCCAGCAGGGCCCTTATTTAATGTGGCTCGAACTGCAGCATGCACTGCTCAACATCTACAAAGGCATCCATGCAGAGGAACAGCTACAACGTTCTGGGATGTTCATCTCAGTCTCCAGACCTGAACATTATTGAAAATCTGTGGTGAGTTAAAGAGAGCTGTCGGTGCTCAGAAGCATCAGACCTTAAGGGACTCACTGGGGATGGAGAAGACAGAGTAGACACACACACACACACACACACACACACACACACACACACACACACACCAAGCAATGTGTCTAAAGTTTTATTGTGATTTCTTAGTAAATATTATATTTGGTGAGAGATAAACTTTATTGTATTCATCCTAGTGGATCTATAATTAAATGGATAAACTAGCAGTAGCACATTCAATGTCAAGGAAAGCAAAAAGTTATTATCAGGAGAGGGAGAATGTTTAAGTGGTTAGCAGCAGTGTGCTAGACGACGGCCTCCTCCATGAGGCCACCACAGCTCAGCAGAACATCGTTGTAGCTTCTTCTGGGGAGAAAAACACTTGGAGAAAAAATAAAGGTAACAGCTGAAATAGCAGGAAATAGTACAGTTAAAGAGCAGATTGTAGAAGAAAGTAGTCGAGTGTGGAAAGTGGTCAGTGTGTCCTCCAGCAGTCTAAGCCTATAGCAGCATAACTACAGAGATAACTGGATAACCTAAGATTTCTGTTCCTTTTCTTGCTCCACATATTTAAAGAGAAAAACTGAAATATCATTTTGATGTTTTCTGATTTCCAACACAGCCAGTCAAGAGTTGGACTCACTGGTCGGTGGTAGTGCAGGTAAACGTGACTCACCAGCAGCCTGCTGATGTCGGTGGATGAAAGGCTGGCGCTGTACAGCTGTCCCCGGTCGGTGCTGACAGCTAGAGTCTCCTCTGCTGGACTCATGCAGACGGTGTGGATCTCTGCTGGGTTTAGGTCATTACTGCGTGGATCTGAAGGAATCTGACACCAACAGATAGATGAAAATATAAAGCTCACAGTCTAACTTATTTTGTCAAAGTCAGCTTGGATATTTACCCGTATTTCCCTGTATTTCCTATAAACGCTGTCCTCTGTCCTCTCAAACAAACAGACAGTTCCAGGACCTGTAGCGCACACAAAGCCCTTGGAGTAGGACAGGATGGCCGTGATACCAGAAGCCGCCAAACCTCCATTCACATCAATTTCTTTGATCCATTTCATCTCCACTTGCCTGTTCCATAAGATAACAGCTTTATTCAACTTCAAGCGATTAGGAGGTGATCCGCTCTGGGAAATGTATCCCAGCTCAGCCAATTGTACCGTGTGATGTGAAAAAACAGTCCAGAAACACAGGACTGGTGTTCTTTTTACTTGCACACAATCTGATGTTCCTATTTATTAACAAATATCACGTCTAATATCTGACCTGTCAGAGTGAGACGACATCCTGAGCTCTCTTCTCATATCTCCAGACTCAAACACAAGCAGCCTGCCCGTGTCAGTTCCAGCAAACACCTTCTCCGACACCCAGGCATGGCACAGGATGTTGATGGACTCCACCTTTGCAATGCTGCTCTGTTTCAGAGCTCCCTCGTAGTAGCGGAAGACCTTGAACACTCCGGATCCACTTACGCACAGCTGCATGTTGTTGTGAGGGTTGAAACTAATCTGACGGGACATTAAATATATTTCAGTTTGCATATATTTATAAACTAGAGCCTGGGCTGCACAGACGGGTGCTCACCTGTGTGATGGGATCATTAAAGGAAGTTGACTTTACTGTTGCTAGAACTTTGTTCTTCTCCCAAAACCAGAGGACAAGTGTCCACTCCGGCCCCCCAGACTGACCTATCAGGTACTTGGAGTCAGGTGAGAAAGCCACGCATAGGAACTCTGAAACAAGCATGTCTCCTGCAGTCAGAGGTTTCCTCCTCCTGCCTCGTTCATGCTGCAGGTCAAACACAGTGATGGTGGCCTTCTCAGCCCGCTCCGACACAGCCAGGTAGCAACGATTGGGGCTGATGGCCAGAGCACGAATGCCCTGGCTTTTGTCTGAACCTGTGAGGATGAAAGACACAACGTAATCCGGAAACAGCAGCTAACACAACGAGCTGAGGAGGCTTAAGAGTGTGTTATTACAAAGAGTGTGTTATTACAACAGCAGCCTGGTTGGGTGCTAACCATAGAGTACCGTGTGTGTGTGCGTGTGTGCCTTCTCTGTCTTCTCGATCCCCAGTGAGTTGTGGAGGATGGCTGCTTATACTGAGCCAGGATTCTCTGGAGGTTTCTTCCCGTTAAAAGGGAGTTTTCCTCTCCACTGTTGCTACATGCTTGCTTAGTATGAGGATTGCTGTTAAGTCACTGACACTAGTCAGTGACTTGATGCAATTTGCTGGGTTCCTTATATAGGAAACTTTATTTCTGATTGGCTTACTGAACTGACCTGAATTGGAATGTTTATTATGTGAAGTGCCTTGAGACGACTCTTGTCGTGATTTGGCGCTTAAATATATAAATAAACTTGAATTGAATTGAATTACCGTAAATGAAGCGCTGGCGTCGGACAGCCGTGTTGTGGCACACGCAGCAGTTCCCGCTCGGGTACGCCACCGTCTGCTCGTCAACAAAACACAAGTTGTTGGTCACGCGGGTTCGGACACCGAAAATAAAGTGTGGTTGAGACCTAACGGAGGCATGTCGCTGGTTCAGCTCCCACACCCACGACCGCTGTCCGAACGGAGGCGAGGAGCACCAACACACCGATAGAATCCCGTTGCTAGGCAACGTCAGAAACCCTACGAGCATAAAAAGTGGCCTCTAATTTCCTGTTTTGCTTACAC